AGTGATATATTCTAATTACCTAGTGTACCCGCATGCCTTACATTTAGATTAAGTTTTATAATTATAGGTCCAGCTTTTGTTATCAGGAGTGACCCATTAAATCTTACCACTTAAGGAAACAAATCAGTACAACAATCTGGTTTCATTCATTATCCTTATGTACCAGACATATATAGTGGAACCGTGACCGGTCTGTGGAAGTATTGGGATTTTGATGGAGATTATTCAGACTAACACAGACTCAGGGCAAGCCGAACGGAAGACAAGCAAGAAAGGTTGGCAACGCACTCGTCTTTCACCTAGTTGTCCGGGTTCGATTCCCCGGCAAAGGACGTGAAAAGATGTTAGGTCACCTGCCCGACCACGTGGGTTTTCCTGGAATCGCCTTCCTTAAGACATGGTTTAAAGGGAGGTCAGATCTCACTGTTTTCTGTCTGTTTATACCGATGTTAAAAAACTTCCTTGTAAACTTCATCTACACAAGTGTTTTCAATTTATTACGAAAATGATTCAAACTTTGGTGAAACTGTACTTTTTTCATCCTCTATACTCCAGGGGTTACGATTACTATCACTCTCTGCACAGACCCAAAGTGTACGTAACCCCTTGAGCATCGCGGATGACATTCTTTATGTTGTGCTGATAACGATTCCGAAGTGTTTTGCCTTTATTCTTTCTCCACCAAAGGACACATATTGATCTGTATAGATACATTTACGATGGTCATTATCACAGTAATTAAGATTAGCGTTGTAGAATTATTAAACTCAGCTGAATATTTAGTAATAACCCATGTTTCCTGAGAACACCGGGGTATGGTTTTCTTCTTAATTAATTTAATTTGCTTCATACTAAGAAAGCACTGAGAAAATATTTAGTATTTCAGTGGTGAATATGCATTGATTGGAAAGGTTTTTTTTATTGTGTTAATGAACATGAAAATTGAAACAATGAAAAGAGTTATCTCTAGTCTCGCTTATCAAGCGTCCATTTTGGTGCTTCTGTGGTTCAGAGCACAAAGTACGTGCTAGTGTCGTTATGTAATTTAAATTCAACACGCAGGAAACATGATTTAATGGTTTATAGATACAACTATTTCATTAAAGTCGATTACTGTGCGTTAATTACTATGTAATGTATGTATATTAAAAAAAACAGTTTTTGATTATCATAATTAGTTCTAAATAATTTGCTGTGTTATTTGATGGGTTTATAAAATATACAACAATGTATTAATCATGTAACAATGTATCAATAATGTAACAATAACAATGTATCAGTAATGTAACAATGTATCAATAATGTAACAATGTATCAATAATGTAACAATGTATCAGTAATGTAACAATGTATCAATAATGTAACAATGTATCAGTAATGTAACAATGTATCAATAATGTAACAATGTATCAATAATGTAACAATGTATCAGTAATGTAACAATGTATCAATAATGTAACAATGTATCAATAATGTAACAATGTATCAACAATGTAACAAAGTATCAATATTTTAACAATGCATCAACAATGTAACACTGTATCAATAATGTAACAATGTAACAACAATGTAACAATGTGTCAATAATGTAACAATGTATCAATAATGTAACAATGTAACAACAATGTAACAATGTATCAATAATGTAACGTATCAATAATGTAACAATGTAACAACAATGTAACAATGTATCAATAATGTAACAATAACAATGTATCAATATTGTAACAATGTATCAATAATGTAACAATGTATCAATAATGTAACAATGTATCAATATTGTAACAATGTATCAATAATGTAACAATGTATCAATAATGTAACAATAACAATGTATCAATATTGTAACAATGTATCAATAATGTAACAATGTATCAATAATGTAACAATAACAATGTATCAATAATGTAACAATGTATCAATAATGTAACAATGTATCAATAATGTAACCAATGGATCAATAATGTAACAATGTATCAATAATGTAACAATGTATCAATAATATAACAATAACAATGTATCAATATTGTAACAATGTATCAATAATGTAACAATGTATCAATAATGTAACAATAACAATGTATCAATATTGTAACAATGTATCAATAATGTAACAATGTATCAATAATGTAACAATAACAATGTATCAATATTGTAACAATGTATCAATAATGTAACAATGTATCAATAATGTAACAATAACAATGTATCAATAATGTAACAATGTATCAATAATGTAACAATGTATCAATAATGTAACAATGTATCAATAATGTAACAATGTATCAATATTGTAACAATGTATCAATATTGTAACAATGTATCAATAATGTAACAATGTATCAATAATGTAACAATAACGATATATCAATAATGTAACAATGTATCAATAATGTAACAATTACGATGTATCAATTATGTAACAATGTATCAATAATGTAACAATGTATCAATAAATGTAACTATGTATCAATAATGTAACAATGTATCAATATTGTAACAATTACGATGTATCAATAATGTAACAATGTATCAATCGTGTATCAATTATGTAACAATTTATTAACAAAGAATGAGGAAAGCAGTTATTCGGGGTAACAGAACCTACACAGTAGAGCATTATACCAGTTGTGCCAGGAGTGTCCTCACTGGCCGAATTTACAGGCCGTTGTTTGGTTAGGCGACCGAGAAGCCAATAGCCTGCCGTGTATTTTATAACAGGTTGGCGGATAAAGTGCTATGACGGCTAGACCAGGCATTATCAGCTTAACCAAAAGTGATTGTAAATTTCATGATTGGATTTTCCCCCTTGCTTCTGATTTTCATCATTTGTCTTCGTGTTTTTAGTCTGTTACGATGATTAAGCCTTTAAATGCTAAAAATGAAGAAAACATCACTTTACGTTATTGTTTTTCTAACAAACGTGAAGCTGACGGAATTCAAAATAATTGTTGTTTTGTTTATGTTATTGGTAAAACTATCAAGCGGAACAGGGAGTCCCTCCCCCTTGCTTCAGCTATATAAGTGTTGAATCGTATCCCTCTCCAACTCATTACATCTTCAGTGGAGCTGTAACTTACAGGAAACAACACACAAATATAGTCTGTTTTATATAACAACGCGTTGGATATCGATTGTGTATGGAACATTTGAAGGTAGGTGTGATCTCTTCTCAATTAGCTTTTAATCCTGTGTGTAACAGATGTACGTACGGAGTACATCAAAACAAACATTTACATCATTATTTCGATACTTACGTAATAAACTGATATATATATAATCTGTTGTTCATACCTCATTAAAAAAAACTTGATTCCAATCGTTGATTGTGAATGTGTTATTTCATTTGCTGAGTTTTACTTACTTTTAATACAACAATAGAGAATCACTTCAACTTCAAATTACATTTTATTGTGATGTAATTTAGTTTTTTTATTCATAATAATAAAAATTGTTCAAACATCGACCTAAATGTGTTTGACTTAGATCGGAGTTAATGTGTAAGGATCAATTAAACTGATATGAAAAGTAAGTAATCATTGACAAGTTTTAACATCAACAATGTAACACGTAGAGCCGGATATCTGATACTCCGTGCCATTTTTAGTAGTTAATTTGCTGTTATTTCCTTTTCCTTGTGCCCATCATCGATATATTGATTTATTGATTTATTCTACTGAATGTTTATAAGAATAAGACAACATGTTTGCAGGTCCAGTGTCAAATAAGATTTTATCTGATTTGTTTGTGGAAAGTAATCTAACGATTTTTGTGGTGTACGACGATGGCCGATTGTATGGGTGTATAATGTACGTACAGATAATGCTAGAGATGATTTACATATAGGAAGTTATTATACAAATTAAAATGGAAATATAGACGTACTTTTATATAGAGATCTGTAATTGAGGTCAAGAAATCAGATTGGTGATAGGTTACTATTGAAAAACACAAGATGTCATTCCAACTCAAAAGATTAAAAAATAAATTTGGAGCGATGATAAAATGCTACTGTCGTTTTATGATATCTAAAAACCGATTGTCTTTCATAAAATCGTTTTAATTCCTTTTAGTCCCGTTGTTTACACGAGATCTACACTTCACTGTGACAAAGCTTTCATTGTTGTTTAATGTTTAAACTGGGAGTTTACATCAGGATATTTATTAACAACTACAACGTACCATGTACAATAATGTATATGTTGAAATGCACACGAGTGGTGTATTCATTATAAAGATGAGATAGGAATAAATGTACATTATTAAAGTTGCACAAATATTTAGTCCATAATGGAATGCTTTAATGTGAAATTCATATCCACTTTCCTTGCATCAATAGTTTATTGTTATACCGTTACCAGGGTATCCCCCAGGGGTACTGATATCGCCCTTACTTTAATGGAAGTATATACAAATATAATCTAGATCCAAGTAATGATTGATAGTGTGATTGTGTATTTAAATAGCCAATCAAAGTGGCGCCTATTGTGATTGGCCAGTTGCGTGAGTGTAAGTACAGATGTGCTGTAGAGAGGAGGTTCGTGGACAAATAATATAGTTGTGTTTACCTAATGTAAACGATGCATGCTTATCCCTTATCTAAGCTGGTGAGTGCACCATTTTGTATAAGTATTTAAGCGTTTAATGGACTTTAACAAAGGAAGGCAGTTTAAGTTATACATTTGAAATAAGGCAGAAAGTTATCGAAATCTTTAAGATCTGTTTGGTCTTCATCTCTGGATTTCGGTTCCATTGAAAGATGTGAATTCTTTACTTCTTGATGTTCAAGCCTGATTTGATACATATCCAGTGTATGTAATGTATGTGTATTTGTCCCTTACAGGTTTGATAAGACGAGACCCCACAGGTGAGGACGACCGAGATATTGACGGTTGGAGGCAATCAGTGTGATAAAGTATCAGACTACTTGATCTTTAACCAAGACCTTTTTATCTAGGTGGGTAAGTCACCGCCTGTATTTAGTGAGAGACAATATTAGAATGACCTCAGATAGGCTGGAAACAGATAAAAGAAAGACACACAGCGCTGAGAACAAACCAACACAACGACCTTCTATACACAAATACATCTCTCCGGCGGAGTTCAAAATGAGAGTTCTCCGGAAACTTACGTCTGTTGACAATAACCCCGACAACAAGTCACTGACCAAGTTTCAGCGACAGGACAGTGACAGAACTCTCAAAGCGTCAATAGTGTTTCCGAACGGCGATGTTGGCACGCTTATATCATATGAAAAAATGGACAGCACAAAACCAGAGTCTTCCGAACATGAGTTACCAAACATGAATGTTGAAGAGGAGGTGATTTCTCGTAAACACGAGCGGCCGTTACGACTTCCGCCCATCATATTGCCGCCTATCTATTCCACAAAGCCTCTTCCTGTGTTATCACGTGACTTTAGCTTGCCATCTGATCCTCCGACGCCGATGTCGGACGATGGCTGGGAAGAACTCCAAGAATGTCGGTACCTTCGTTTATACTCCCCTCGGAAGTACCGTTCCAATTCCATACCCGCCTAATTCATCTTATCGGTCTTTAGTTCTGGACTTCCACAGTCAGTTCCGGAATCTTCGAACACGAGAATAACGGCCAAACCCAGCCCAGCGGCTTGACCATGTTTTACCAATTGACAGCTGGACGTTTAATGAATAACTAGAGTGTTGACTTTGATGTCCAGTTTGAAACAGAAAAATGCCTTGACAGAGTTTAGGCTGGTGCTAAAAGACAAAGGTTAAATTATTTGTTGTCATGGAAAATGTTATCCGTTGCCTATTTTGACATTAGAGATTTTGTTGATCATTCAGTGACATCTGCGGCTTCTTTTAAACACGAGCTCTTTTCTGAAACAGCGATTTTCACTCTTCGGAAAAGTGTGGATCATTTCAACCAACCGTAACATGCGTGGTTCCAAAGTAATTCACTTCATCTGAAATAGAGGCCGACTTTGTGACTCACGCTTGTCTACAAAGAGATTGCTTGGTGAGTGTTAATCCAGTCCACTAAATTAAATCAAAGATGACGTGAGTCAATAGGCTGTGTGACACAAAGGAAGTACTTCGGAACTTAATGGTGAGAGGAAAACGAGTGTTACTTCAGCACTGACACAGAACTGTTTAAATCATGATAAAGGATATTACATACTTCACCTGAGAAGTTTGCTCAATGATTTTACTATATGATACCGAATAATTGTGTCTTCCGAATGTACATGTGTTTCAAATGAAGGTAATCTTTTCTTCTTGTCGAAGGGATTTTCTATTGAATTACAAAACATGATATGTGAGAAGTGTATGTTAGAAATAGTTTCTGTCTTGTTAATGAGTGTGTACTAGAATGTGCGCATGCGTGTGTATCAATCTTTTTCATCAACCACTGAATACATATGTACATAAAGATATATATATATATAACACATTTAGTCATTAAGGGATTTCAGTTTATTCATTACTGTTTTCATATCTTTAAAAACACGAGAAAACAGCCGATGAAAGAATATGAGTGAATATCATTCGGGTTAACTCATTCCGATTTCAGTAGGAAATTGACCGAGACGTTCCACATGTTATCATTTAAGAAGATACAGGACGAAATTATAAATAAACATAATAATTTAATGTTCATTAACTTACTGGTGTATTAATTATGAAATCAAAATTATGTGAAGGTGTTTGGAAACATATAGCATAAAAATGACGATTGACTTTAAGTTTTATGAAAGATCCTTCTTTATTTTGAGTGGTTGTTTACCGTTACAGCCGTCCAGTTGTTTTCTTTGTGGGCTTTCAGCGTCACGGTTGTTGTTTTTGTTTACTCGTGTAGTGCTACGGAATGTCACCGTGGCGCGATATATGTACAAATAGTTTCGGTTGGTATTTACGAAAAAAATAAAACAGGAAATCAAATACAGTATCTCATTGTTTTTTGAGACGATATATCACAATGTAGTAGAAACGATCGTCACACAGTTCCCTGGTCTAGGTTAATGAAACTGTTAAACACCCAGTCGAGAAATTATCTCGTGAATATCAAAGAGGTGAACATAAAATCATAGCTAAATATGTAACTAAATATGGGATCGTTTGAGTTATTTCATCCGTTACTTACTAAGCAGTGTTATGATTGGTTAATATTTCAGTTTTATGGTGAGATCAATGCCAGCTCGCAAAGGCTGTGTCAAATGTCCGGGGCTTAACTACAATAATGCTATTATGTATGTTAATGAAATCATCGTTCAGAAATAGACATGAGTTACTGTAAACCTGATCACGGTTGTAGTTTTAATATAATGTAAAACTTTTCAAAAATCCAGCAAATCAAATCTGGTTACTCCAACTTTATTAGAATGTGAAGTATTTTCCAGAAATTTCTTGTTATTTTGGAACGTATTCATCGTGTCGGTAATATCAATGGAAAACACATCAAGAAAATACAAACATGTCAACATAATCGTAATCGAAACTAAAATTCCATAAAACTAGGACAAAACATGAAAATGTACAGGGAGAATAACACCACCACCATGTTAACCTTGGTCAATTCAAGAATAAGTAATGTATAAAACAACAGAACCAACAGGAAAACTAACGAACACTAAACACCTCCAGCTTCATACCGTACAACAGAACCAACAGGAAAACTAACGAACACTAAACACCTCCAGCTTCATACCGTACAACAGAACCAACAGGAAAACTAACGAACACAAAACACCTCCAGCTTCATACCGTACAACAGAACCAACAGGAAAACTAACGAACACTAAACACCTCCAGCTTCATACCGTACAACAGAACCAACAGGAAAACTAACGAACACAAAACACCTCCAGCTTCATACCGTACAACAGAACCAACAGGAAAACTAACGAACACTAAACACCTCCAGCTTCATACCGTACAACAGAACCAACAGGAAAACTAACGAACACTAAACACCTCCAGCTTCATACCGTACAACAGAACCAAGAGGCAAACTAACGAACACAAAACACCTCCAGCTTCATACCGTACAACAGAACCAACAGGAAAACTAACGAGCACTAAACACCTCGAGCTTCACATCACACATAGAAATAGTATATTTGACGAATCGACCAATCGCTAAATGATGTCAACATTTTGTATTTGTTTAACGTTTAGTAGTTTAACCTACTGCTTAAAGAATTAAAGATGTTGTTTCACGGACGTCATAAAAAGGTATCTTTAAATTATGTTGTGTTTTTGTGATGATTTTTCCTTGAACATAGTGGAAAATCATCCCTTCGAAAATGTCAAACGTTGAAGTATGAGTTGACGAAGTATGCATCCATTTCTGACAACAATTTTAATAGGAAAAGGTAATGAAATATATTGACTGAAAAAGCAATACATTAAAAATAACGATCATGAAACAATATACCAAAGCTTCAAGCTACAAAGACTTTTTAGAATATTAGGTTCAGGAAACATATTCAACATGGACGACCGTTATCATACAACACATAAGAGTAAATCAATGTAAAACACAAATGGCGCGTTCGATTCTTAAAATCAACTGCAAGGGAATGTTTGACTCTATTTAGACATAGTTCCCTTTTTTCTCCTGTCACGTGATCTATCATATCACAGTTAATCGGACGCTTGGTACATTATTGGTCGGGGGCTCTTTATGACTAGGATATTGGACAGGAGATTTAGACAATCTAAATGTATACTACAGTACAATGGTATCAGTGACTACGTTTTATTCATGGTCTAGTGTAATTAGGATACTATTAAAAACAACCAAACAATAAGACGATAAAGGATTTTCGTTTTTTCAATTGAATATAGATCTTGTCTTCATTTCAGTTTATTCTATAACAATAATTCTACAGTGTATGTATGACGAATTTCACCACAGCGACAAGGACACGGAAGTTTATGTAAAATTTGTGTCACGTTTGAGGGTCATGGCCGGCGGAAATGATAGTATAAGTGTAATATGGGTTCCTTTATTGATACTCAAAAAACACAATGGGAAATAATTTAGCGATATCAAGAGAACAATCATTGTACACGATAGAAACTTGTTTATAATAATAAAATAATTTGACGATACCTAGCGAAGAATTAAGAGTTTTGATTAACGCGAATCAACAATGTAATATATATAAATATTATGTTTTCTATATATGTAACATATAGGTGGCCGTGTCTGTATTGATCATCCATTACATCACAGCTTACTACAACATGCTTTTGGCACGAATTCCTAACCCACAAACCATATACATGTATTATAGTGATAGATACGTATATACTCAAGGGATAAAGATACGCAGGGTAAAATTTGAAGATATTTCTAGGCAAGACGTCGAGTATAATGTTCAATATTTTAAAGTAAGAATGAAGATTAATTCATACAGAACAAACTGGAAAATCAACAATTTGTATCTGGTAAGTGATTTAGGAATAATTGAAGGGAATTGAAAGATAACTCTATACTCTGAAATCGAAATGGACTGATTGTGGGAGCTGGCTAGTCAATACCGGGTATGTCCCCATTCGCTCTCTCCACAGCCCTGTTTCTCCTAGGCATGGTGTTCAAGAGTGACAACATGGGGTCGGAGGATCTCATCTCTTTACCAAGCGGTAGTTAGACCACAACCCATGAGGATTTAACTTCATGTGAGATTCCTCCCCACACCATAGCTACGCAGCAGTCGACAAAATGTTCTCCACGAGGTCGGTATACACGACGTCGAACGTCTGCTCGAAACCGGGTGAACCGGGACTGATTAGTAAACAAGACTCGCCTCCACTGCCTCAATGGGAATATTCTGAGGGCATGTACCGCCACCCAAGTCATACGACGCTGGCGACGAGCAACGGTAAGGGGCAGACCTACAAACGGGTGACGTTCCGCAGACAGCCAACTTCCTGCAATCGTTTCTTTACAGTTTTTGCATAGATAGGACGGTTATGAGTACCTATGTTTTGAAGGGCAGGTTCAGTGGCAGTAAGGCGCCGATTGCTAAAATGGACGAATAAACCTGACCCCTCGGAACATCCGTCAGCTATGCCATTGTTTAATACTATCAGAAATTAATCAAAATATCGGAAAGTAATGTGTCTCTACTAGGACTACCTAATGGTCTGACAAGCAGTGTAACTCAATGTCACAACACTGCTGTGCACGATATCTCCCGTTTCGTGCTTTCCCCGGGAGACACCGTCACGCAATACAATAATGGAACATTTGATACAGGACCACGTGTACTGTAACATAGAGAGTTGCCTGACCGATTTTCGTTGTTGTTTTTAACAACGCGTTCGTAAGATATTGCAATTAATGTCTTTATCCCTTGAGTATAAATGGACCATGTGTCGTGAATTCGTGCCAAGTAACGCTGCTTACTACAGTGGGTTGTATCCCGGAACGCATACATATTATAAACGTCTACCTAGAACTGTTTTTACAGTGATTATAGTCTACAGTGCACGTAGTCCTAACATAATTACGAACACTTCAGACAAATTGCAGTTAATTTTGTCTGAAA